AACGCCGTGGCTGGCGGCACCGGTGGCAGGAGGGACGGGTGTTTTGGGGCCGGGGCCGCAGGAGGTGGCTCGCCCCCCTGCCCTTGGCGCCGGGACGTCGCCCCGGGTGCCGGGGCTCTGCGGGACAGCGTGGCCTCGGCGCCAGCTGCTCGGCGCTCCTTCGCTCCTGCTCCAAAACGTGTCAGGTAGCAGGAAGGTTAGCAATCGACCTTGCGAATTTTGACTTTGCTAAGGTGTATAATAATATCATTACAAGGCTTCGGAGGAAAAATAAAATACCTATACATATATATATATATGAAATATACGTGTATGCATTTCTATGTATAATTACATAAAACAAGGGGCGTTTGTAGACACTACCATTTCAGCAGTAGTGTTTAGACTGTCGCTGCTGTGCCAACAGTTGAATTAGCCCAATTAAGAATCGGGAAACCCCCAAAGACAAGAGAGATGAAGCGAGCAGCTGGGCAGGCTGTTCTTAAATCATCTGCTGCTGGAGGACTCACGATGTGGAGCTGTCGCAGCTTTGGGGAAGACAGGTTTGCTGAACTGCATCACAGGCATCCAAAATCTCTGCTGGCTAATCCACATACCCATTCTTGTGGTGCAGCTTAATCTGAAGGTCATGAAGCTCTTTGATTCTCCTCCAAGTGGCTATACTGAAAGGAATCCTACCCTAGGAGGGCACACACCTGATTTGTAGGGCCTTTTTATACCAGAGAATTATTATTACAATTTTAACATTAATTATTGAAAGTGTGACGCTAAACGCATTGTTGATCGTCAAGTGTAGCTTCTAAATTTCAGGAACTGTCATGACAGCAAAATTCTGGGGAAGATGTGCTGTTCTGTCAATCCACTTCTGTGTAGTTTTGTCAGGGGTAACAGAGGAGAAAGCACAGCACATTGTATGAGAGTCGGCTGGTTGGTCAGTATGTTAAAGGAATTTTTGTTGATTTGTTTGTTTATTTATTTATTTATTAAGGGAAAGCTCCATTAAAGCAAAAGGACACTGTCAAAATGTGTGTATATGAGATATTTCCTTGTCACTTGCAGAGTTAGTGTGTTGTATGTATCTATTCATCTATCTCTGTATATGTGTATATGTGGTATGAATACATATCTGTCTATATATTTACATGTACGAATAATATAATTTACTAAATGTGCATTATATATATGTAAAAGCCAACAAGAAAATTTTATAGTACATTCAGGGATTTGGAAATCTAGGATTAGTTCACACCTCCTTGAATTAAAATACACTGTTGCAAAGAGAGATGTGCCTGTTGAAAAAAAATCAAATCATCTCATAAATTCTCCTAAGAGGGGAAGCTTTTTATGTAGACTATGGATAACTACATGAGGTTACAATTTTATTCTCTTTGTTTAAGTGTACCTGTTTTCCATAATTAAAAGCTTAAGCCAAGTTTAAAGGAAGAGTGTAAGATGCAAAACTTGATCACACATTTGTGAACGTGCAGGAACATCTAGTGATGTTGTGACTCATTTCTGGTAATTTTAAAAGTCTGGTTTGGAATTTCATTTTAAAATAGTCATCTAGGTGCCTGTGGGGATATCAGATGGTTGCTTTGGTGGCAAATTTTTGAATTTGCCAGCAGACATGGATAACTTTAGGTACAAGAATAACGCTCTTGATTTCAGTGAGGTTTTTCATGTGCTTAAAGTTCAGGTGCATTTATGTAACGGGTTGAAGGATTGATACTTAAAGAGACCAAGGGAGTCTGAATAATCTAAAAGTTTTTATGACTGAATTAGTTGTGTGTTGAGGGGTGTTCTTGCTTTAAGTGCTTTGGTGAAGGACAGGTGCATTAGCTTGACATTCTAGGTTTGTATTTAATGTGTCTTATAACTGATACATTGCACTGTAGAATATTGAAATCTGAGTTATTTTTTTCTCATTGGTTTGTTTTTTTCTCAAATATAGGATGAAATAAGAAGAACCAGGTTATTATTACAAAACAGTGGAAAGACGCTAAGTGAGCCCATACAGAATGATCAGGTATTTTGGAGCGCAATTTGTAGAAAATAGAGGTGTCTCTTTTTTTCATGGCTGAAATAGTTGCTATTAGTGTAAGATCTAGGAGACAGAATACTGAGATTCAGATACAAGGGATAAACAAGAAAAAATCATTACTACAGAGATTCTAATCTATGAATCTAGTAGGAATTTCTTTGGATGACTACTGGTGCCAAATTGCAGTATTATTATTCTGAAGAATGCTATGTTGTCTATCATATAGCTGAATTTAAAAGAAACCCTCGAATCACTCTAGGTATCATTGCTTTAAGCCTGTCTGTCCTCAGCTGGGATGATATAGGTAGGTGATAAATACGTAAAATACTTACTGAGCTCATTTTGAATCTTTGATGTTGCATCATCATATAGAGGGCAGGTTGGTTTGGTTTCACATCTCATAAAATGAGCAGTAGCAGTATTTGGGTGGAAAACTTCCTCATGGAATTGCTGGAAAGTAGTGCTGAGCCCTTGCTTTGTTAGGAGGAGTCTTTCTTTTGATTCACTGTGGGCTTGGCTCTTCCCATGTGGCATTTAGTACCTTCTGTGTCAAAGTCTGAAAGGAGAAATAAAAGCTTCTGTGATTCCAGAAAAGCTGAAGTCTTAACATAAGTGTTTAGGCTTTTAGCCATATTTTAAAATTGTTGTTTTCTGTTTTAAAATACCTACTAGCTTAACTTTTTAAAATTAACTTTCTATTCTGCCATAATGTGCACTTTGGTGCTGTTACACAGCACATGGGATGTGAGTAACTTATATTCAACAAGGAGTATATGGAGAGAAATTTTAGGGAAAAAATAATTAAAGGGGTGTATACATATATGGCATTCCATATAAAAGTAAGTTATTGGGAAAAAAAAAGATATAATAAATTTAGAAAGAAGATTTTACCCAGTCTCTTCTGAAACTTGATTACTAACCTAATTTTCTAATTGTTTAGACAAAACAAGCCTTCCTGCTAAGCCTGGTAAGTTTACAAAATATTTAGAAATGGTTTTTTTTCTTTCTTATTCAAGTATGGCAAAGGTCGTCCAATTTGACTTTTTTCTTTCTTTTTTTTTTTTTTCTTTTAAGTCCAGTGTACATCCTGATACAGACAAGATAATTCCTGTTCTGTTTAGACCTCCAGGTAAGTTCCCTTAAGAGAAGTTTTGTGTATGTGACTGAAGCATCGAAGTAAATAGCCACTGTGATACTACAGTGATACTCTTCTCCATATAGAAAAACAAGTAGACTCTTCTGTTAGTTGCATTGTCATGTCTGTTGAAGATTTATTTATTCCTACGGTCCTCCTGAGGAATTTTTTCCACAGTTCTTCTGCTTGGCTAAGTGGAAATAGTCTGACCAGTCTCTGTTTTTTGTCACTACAGAATGAGTTCCCAAATCCTTTCACATGTAAAACTATCTACTATAAGCTAAGTTTTCATTTGATGAATGTGGCTACTGTATGAATTTACTTGCTGTGGTGGCAGATAAAGTCTGCTTGGGGTGATGTTTAGGGAGCCAAGACAGCGCAGGTTGTTAATCAGATATAACCATACTCAGGCTATTTACTCCTTATCTCATATAACCACTCACAGCTGTGACAGTCTTTGTTGCCACATATCTCTTTTTGAATAGAGTGAGGAGAAGAAATTTCTGTTCAAAACTCAGTTATATAGTTTCTGAGTAGCCACATTGAGTGGAGTTCACAAGGGGTCCTTTTGGCTATAAGCTGTGACCAGGTATTCTGGCTTCTTGAATGAGAGACAAAGGTTAGAATTGAAGTCCATGGTGATGGTAGGGTTTTTGTGGGCAGTGTTTTACTTTGAGCTGAAACTGAGCGGGGAAGTAAGGGGAATTTTCTGCTCAAAAGCTAGACTCAGCAGTTACCTTTACTGAAATGATGTTTTCTTTCTTTTTAGCCTTCCTGCCCATATCTCTTCCATTGGTGAGTAATCATGAAAGATGCTAGTGTACCACAGGGCTTACATTTTTCCACAGCCAGGGGTTGGAGGGAGGGAACAGGTTTTAGGCTTCTTAGTTGTATTTTCAGCACAAGCTTTTTAAAAAACATCTATTTTATGGGAACTGCTAAGTAATCTAGAAATCAAGCCCTTAGGGAATCTCATTGGAAGTCCAAACCTGTTAGCTACCTTCCTTCAGCAGTATTCAAAGAGATTGTTCATGTGTGAAGGTCAGCTTTCTGATGCAAGGTGAAATTCACTAGGCATTGAGAGCAAGGCCTGGTTTTGGTCTGTTTAACCTCAAAAAACTGGAACTGCAGTAGGAGGGAGTTGGACCTTGTGTTCTGTTTCAGATTCAGAATATGAATTTTTTCTTTTGTAGATCGTGCATTTGCAAATAAGAAATGGTGTTGTCAAGAAATTACAAAATATATAAACTCCTTACAGTGCTCAAAAATTGCATCATTTTGTTTCATAAAATTTGTAGCTGCAATTATATGCATGTTTGTTTATTTAGATGTGTTTGCCTTTGGTTTTGGCATATGAGTATACATACTAAGTCATTCCATATAGAGATTACAGCATGAACTTGTATGGCACTACTAGAAAGTATAACAGCTATCAAGATTTTCATTAAATTCATTAAGAACGGTAATAGAATTAACAGAAATACTTCTTTTTGATATTTACAGCTTAAAGCTCTTTCATAGGTGGGGTTAGATTCAGCACTGGCATTAATAATAAAGGTAGTTGATCCACTAATATTAAATGAATTACTGATCCTTCTCTGAGGCTTTGGATGTTCCATACCCTCCTCTTATTCAATATTTGCCTTATCTTGATTGACTCTGTACTTTAAGAGTGCTCCAAACCTGGTAGGCTAGACCTGAAGAAAGGCTGTGGTTTATTAAAACTGAAGTTCTTATTCACTGTCTGAGTTGGCAAGTAGATCCTAGAATCATTGATCTTAGGTCAGGTAGATCTAGTATTTACATCCCCACTAGCCAAAACAATCTGACCCTTTCTCATTCACTACTTTAACTACATTTTTATTATCGTAGTTATTTTATTTGCACCTATTTTAGCTTCACAGGTACAAATGTATTTTTTATTTTGGGTAAGAAAGCATCTTGCCCAAATATTCTTGCACACAGTGTTTTAATCACTGTGTCTCTGTGTTTTATATTGGATAGAAAAAGTGAAAATGTCACATCTGTGGCAAGAAAGTGTGTTAGCCTAGAATCAAGGCAAATGGCTTCGGGTACTGACGCTGCCTTTGACGCTGCTGCAAATAGTAACATAGCAGTTCTCTTCGTGCTCTAGCCTACCACTGCTCACCAAAAACTTCTAGATTCATCAAACCTAATTTTCTTGTGGGGTTTTCCTCTTAGGTTATTGCTTCATCTCTTCCACTCCGGGCAAAGCAAACTTTTTTTTGTCAGGTAATTACCTCTTCCTTTCAACATTTACAAGTCTTCTAGTCTCAATCCCAAATTCATTTTTGCTTATAGTCTCTCCTTTCTGCAGTTCGTGTTTCACACATATACCACAGGATTCACCCTATTAAATGGAAATGGTACCACAAAGGCTGAAGTATGTGTCGATTTTTATTTTTTAAATCATCTTAATTGTACAAGACCATTTTGAATATGATTTACAAGTGTTTTACAAATGCACTTACGGAGTATGTTTCTTCTGTCCATCTTAGGAGCACTCGCTTCAACAGAAGCAGATCTTGTACAGCGTGGGAGCCATTTCCTATGCAGCTTGTATTGGTGTATGTATTTCCTCAATGATTGCTTTCCTGAGAGCTTATTCAGCTCTCCTGAGAAGGAGTAGGCGCTGAGATGATCACATGGCCAGATATCCTTCAGGATTGTGCTTTAATGCTCTACTCTGATGTCTTGCCCCAGAACTGTTGAGAATAATAATTTTCCCTATCATCTGTCAGCCAATACCTTGCTTGGCTTCCTCTTTTGTCCTTTTCTTTATTATTCTGCAAACTTAGAAAATGGGTGGTGAGAGGAAATGGCCAGGGTTTACAAACACAGAATAACTCACTGGGTTGCTATAGTTGATTTTTTGATGTGGTGCTGTGGAAGACATCTATCTAGCTCTATAAAAGGGGTGAAATCTGCAGGCATCTGTACTGGAAAAAGTTAGCTCAGATCCCAGAAGCAGCGTAGCCATGAAAATACTGCACTGAATGCAGGTTAATTAGCCTTCCAGGAGGGCTAGGTAGCTGAGGGCTACCTAGCTAGCTCTGTGCTGTGCTGGAATAGGAATTTGTGGTTTCCAGATTTTGCTACATCAGAATGAGCTCTGGTATCCTCATGTCATGGTTTAACCTCAGCCAGCAACTGAGCACCACACAGCCGCTCGCTCACTCCCCCCTTCCCCTGGTGGGACGGGGGAGAGAATCGGAAGACTAAAAGTGAGAAAACTCGTGGGTTGAGATAAGAACAGTTTACTAATTGAAATAAAATAAAATAGTAATAATAACAATAATAATAAAAGAATATACAAAGCAAGTGATGCACAATGCAATTGCTCACCACCCACCGACCGATGCCCAGCCAGTCCCCGAGCAGTGGCCTCCCCGGTCAGCTTCCCCCAGTTTATGTCCTGAGCATGACGTCCCATGGTATGGAATGTCCCTTTGGCCAGTTTGGGTCAGCTGTCCTGGCTGTGCCCCCTCCCGGCTTCTTGTGCACCCCCAGCCTTCTCAGTCAGCAGAGCATGGGAAGCTGAGAAGTCCTTGACCAGTGTAAGCGCTACTTAACACACTGATGTTTTAGTTGTTGCTATCAGTGTTATTCTCATATTAAATCCAAAACACAGCACTGTACCAGCTACTAGGAAGAAAAATTAGCTCTATCCCAGCCGAAACTAGGACACCTCATGACACTCATTGCAAGCATCGATGCCCCTATAATGCATTTCCTCACTCTCCACACTAAACTGATTTTTGTAAGCCTTCTGGCAGAAAATCATGGCTGTTCCTGCCTTTGTTAGATGGACTTTAACTCTGTCCACTAGGCAAAACAGTTGGGCCAGCAGTGCTCAGGACTTTACAGAGGTCTGAGGAGGCAGCTGTGTCCGTGGTTGAATGTGGGAGTTCTTCCCCTTTGTCCTCCAGGGGAGACTCTGAGCGCTAGGTGGTGTCCTGGCCATTTATTCCTAAATGAAACTTCTGCAAGTGTATTATGGGAATATAGAAACTGCAGAGAATCAGGAACAAATGCACAAGTGCACCAGGTGTCCTGTCTGGGGGAGAGAGCAGTATGTGTCACAAGGCAGTTGGGCAGATGTCCAAGGAATATTAGTCAGAGGTAATTGTTTTCCTTTTTCTGTCTTTGTATTCATACTGCTATTGTCCTATACATAATAATGTTGAATGCTTTTTTTATCGTAATATTTTGGGTTCTTATCTAAAAGAGTGATTACAAAAACCTTCAGTAACTAGAGAACATATGTATTTTGTTGGAATGTTTAACCAAGGCATTTGTTTATTTTTATAGATGGTAACTATGTACTAAGTCACAGATTTATCTTCCTAAACTGTTGCACATACTGAAATACTGCACATTTTTTTTAATAGAGGGTGCCTGTTTCTTCCCAATGCCTTAGGCTTTTCCTCTTGTCTTCATGAATCGATACACGTTGAAGAGTTCGTTAACGCAACTAGTCGTCAGAAAACTTCTACCTGCTCCTCTTCTTGGTGAGTGTAAAGAAACGGTACATCGTGCAGCTGGTCTGAGGGCTATTTGCTGCCCCATCTGACTGTATATTTTCTTGCCCTTGCACAGATGTGGTCTGACTGTTTCCTAGCCGCCTTGTCTGACTGCCTTTACTGGGTACTGTCCTTTCTGTGTGAGAGTTAACACTCACTGATCAGTGTAGCTGACCTCTATTTGATGCTTGCTGGTTTTTAGTTTTAGAGCTCCAGAGCACTCTTCTGACCTTTGTATGCATGACATGCAACCGTTTCTTCAAAGATATCCAGGGATGCAGTTGGCGTTTTTCTTTGGCTTGGACATTATACCTGAAACCATCAGGACTGCCAGGAGGGATCAGGAGGGCAGTAGCACTCAAACTGTGTGGCACATACATGACACCAGAGCGCAACACAGCTCCAGGTGTGCACTGGCGTAGTTCCTTACTCAGGTTGGGGCTACCTAGCTGGCTACCTAACTGCTGACTGTGTAGAAAGTGGGAGTTGTTATAACAGAATATTATTAACCTTGCAAGGTAATGAGACTCAGTTCATTACTGAAACAGCTCTACTGACATGGTGAAGTTGCACCAGGACAAGTTTAACTATTTGATGTTATTAACTGTTTTTCTAATGCCATTAAAGAAAATTTTGGCCTTTCCTAGGGGAAAATGGTAAAATTAAAACAAATGTCATCTCCTCTGTTCCAAGTTATGTGAGATGGCTACCCAAATCTTTCCGAGGACCTGCGTAAGAGCTTTCTGACTTGTTTCCCTTGGAGCAGGTGTTAAAGTGTACTTCCATTTTCTTAAATAGAGAGAGAAACCTGAGGGTAATTGATTAGTATTAGTCCAGCATTTGAAAAGTGCCATCTGTTACACTGATGTCTTTATTGAACAGCCCTGCCAAAATCTAATAAAAAGAGAAATCTACTATTTCAAACAAGGTCAGTTTGCCAGACTATGTGGGTACTGTCCTTTCTGTGTGAGAGTTAACACTCACTGATCAGTGTAGCTGACCTCTATTTGATGCTTGCTGGTTTTTAGTTTTAGAGCTCCAGAGCACTCTTCTGACCTTTGTATGCATGACATGCAACCGTTTCTTCAAAGATATCCAGGGATGCAGTTGGCGTTTTTCTTTGGCTTGGACATTATACCTGAAACCATCAGGACTGCCAGGAGGGATCAGGAGGGCAGTAGCACTCAAACTGTGTGGCACATACATGACACCAGAGCGCAACACAGCTCCAGGTGTGCACTGGCGTAGTTCCTTACTCAGGTTGGGGCTACCTAGCTGGCTACCTAACTGCTGACTGTGTAGAAAGTGGGAGTTGTTAGAATATTATTAACCTTGCAAGGTAATGAGACTCAGTTCATTACTGAAACAGCTCTACTGACATGGTGAAGTTGCACCAGGACAAGTTTAACTATTTGATGTTATTAACTGTTTTTCTAATGCCATTAAAGAAAATTTTGGCCTTTCCTAGGGGAAAATGGTAAAATTAAAACAAATGTCATCTCCTCTGTTCCAAGTTATGTGAGATGGCTACCCAAATCTTTCCGAGGACCTGCGTAAGAGCTTTCTGACTTGTTTCCCTTGGAGCAGGTGTTAAAGTGTACTTCCATTTTCTTAAATAGAGAGAGAAACCTGAGGGTAATTGATTAGTATTAGTCCAGCATTTGAAAAGTGCCATCTGTTACACTGATGTCTTTATTGAACAGCCCTGCCAAAATCTAATAAAAAGAGAAATCTACTATTTCAAACAAGGTCAGTTTGCCAGACTATGCCCTGTTACACCTAGACCTTGGTCTAGAAAAGAGAAAGAATAAAACCAGCTAGATGACATTTGATATGGCCTTTATAAGTGCCAGTGGTTTAGGCTTGGGTTTTCAGTGACTGACTGTGGAATGGATGTTTTCAGGTACCTTGTAAAGCTGGGTCTGGACGAAACTGAAACATTCTCATCTACGATCCAGCTGAAGCACTGCCACTTGTGACAGACACACAACTGGGCAGAGAAGTGCCATAATGGAACATATTAGAGCCAGTGTTCCCCTGGCACCATCCCTTTCAAATCAGGGATGCAGCCTTTACGTCAAGTCTGTTCCCTTCAGGGTCTTATTTTCTGTGCTGGATTTTGTGCTGACCAGTACAAAACCTATCCACAACACAAACCTCTCCCCTTTCTCTTAAGAACAAAGTACTCTTGGTTTGAGCTGGATGGCAGTGATTGAAAGCTCTGAGTCCATAATGATAAAGCACCTTTTAGGATTGGGCCTTAAAAACTCACTCAAACTTCTGAAACAAAAATTAAGATGCCAAGCAGATTTTTATGGGGCAGTCTTTTCTTAAGCTGCCAGGTTATTCAGCTGTGAACTGTTGAACTGGAAATGTAAAATGCATGTAATTATGAATGTTACTATTGAGATAGTCCTTTTGGATCTTTTAAAGCAAAATCCTCTTCAACCCTGCAGGCTTGATGAGTGCATTTACTGTGGCAGTGGTGAGAAGCCCAGAATTTGAGAATGGAATTGAAGTGATGGACAGGAATGGCAAGGTTGTAGGACTGTCACAGAAGGCTGGTGAGAAGGTAGGTGACGGGGTGAAGGCCTCTCTTGACTTGCCTTTCATTCTCTGCTAAGAGCTGAATGTGATGCTGGGAGTAGATAGAGTTGGATATATTGAAATGAGGAATCCCAGATCAGGTGCTGGATCTTTGGGTAGGCTTGGACTAGGTCTCTGGAACCAGGTTGGCACCTGTCTTGTGTCTTCAAGGGTTGGCAGCCTCCCCAGCCCAATATACCGAGTGCCAGAGTTGAGCCACAGAGACGCTAACAGGCATTTGTGCTTTCCCTGGTCACAGAAGGAGACTCTTGGACCTTCTTCTGATGGGACACCTCAGAGAAAAGCCCTGTATTGTACATATCACATGCACCTTCTATAGAGGGAGTATCATTTAAAGGCTGTGCCTCCCAAAGGGTAATGCCCTGATCTACAGTGTGCTAGTGCATTTTATCCTTGGGCTCCAGTTGCTGACTCTGTATTTGCTCCTCACCTTGCTCATCCTCACTGTAGAGTCTGGCACAGGAACTAGAGCAAGGAGTCATATTTTATGTGCTCTCAGTGACCCTCCTTTTCTATGCTGCTATCCAGAGGGGAGGAAACAGCTAGATGAGCATAAAGATTTGTGGACAGCTGGAGAGAGAACTTCAGATTTGACACAGGATAGTTAGGATGCCCAGAAGGTATAACCATTTGGAAGAAGTTCAGCACAACTTAAAAAAAGCAAGCCTCAGCAAAATTATTGTCGTGGTAGGAAAACTTGATATGGCATGAGTAGTTCCACCTCCCTTTTAAGGTATTTAGTCACAAGTGGAATATTTGCCACTTGTAGGAGTTTAGTTTCCATTTAAGAAAGAATTCCTCTAACAAATGTTTTTATCCCTCATTAACCTGTTGCTTGAAACCCCAGAGTATTAGACAAAAAAGTGCTCACAGAAGCATGCAGTAATTGAAGCTGCACAGAGCGCTGCTTTAACAACATTTATTTTTCTCTCTCCCTGGAGGCCGTTAAAGAAACAGCATTGTCAAGAGCAGTCTTGTTTGGGACAACATTATTCCTGCCGGCTGTGCTTATGCACTTTGTGGAAAGGTAGGAAGTACTGCAAAAGGGCTGGGGGTGCCTGGTCAGTGTGTATTCTAGTTTTAAGTCTGACTGTTACCACTTGCCAATTTTTCTTGGGTTTGCAGTATTACTTGCCTTGGTAGAAGTGATTATCTGGGAAGTTTCTGTTCAGCAACTGGGATTATTTAGATAAGTAAGTGAATCTGGTTATGTCCGCATCCATGCTTCAAGGATTTGCAGGAGATTGTGTACAACTACGAGGGTTTCTTCTCTGCTCCCATGCAGGAAATATGTTTGTGCTCTCCTGACAGGCTGTTTTCCAGTACCTAGGGTCCGTAACTTGATTTGAGTCCCTGTGTCTGGTGTCAAGGTTGTTCACAGCACTTAGCTTAGATTTGTTATTTCTGAAGAGGTCATATGGCACTTGAATTTGCAACTAAAACTGGATCCCAACTTCCAAATAGTTTTTCATATATTGTAAAACATGTTCTTGCTTTTGCAACATTTAGAAACCCTATATAATAAGAAGAATTCATTGTATGGTTTATGAGAGAATTCTTAGCCTGCTCTGAGCTTTTGGTAGGGATCATCTGTCTCATGTAAATAATACAGGTAGGGATCATCTATGTCTTGTAATTTGGTAGTGCCTAAATCAATTCCCTATCTCCTTTTTTAGCTTAAGGGACTCCTGTTACTAGAAGACATAAATGCAGATGTAAGATAGAATTTTAAATATATACCGAGTAATAAATTTTTGCACAAGGCAAAGTAGGACTGCCAAGAGGAACTAAATCTGAAAGGAAAGAGGGTAATGCAAGAAAAATCTTAGTCAAAGAACCGAGACACTTTAAAGCACTAATGCACCTTCTCTTCTTTTGTCACTTTGATCTTGCTGCTTATTTTCTTAATCTTGTATTGACAGTCTGGGCTTGGAAAATGCTGCAGCTGAATACAAAACAAAGGGAAAGAACAGGAAGTTAGGAGTAAGAACATAGCAAATAAAGTAAGGAAACATCTTTAGGATTCGTAAGCCTAGGTTATTACTAATTTCAGTAAAATTTCAACCACTAAAATAGTAGCTAATGCTGTTTGTCTCACTGTCAGATTATTTTTCAAGCCCAAACTGACATACTTACTTTTTCAATGTCTTGTACAGGGCAAAATTTGCAAAAACTCCACATGCTTTGGCTTCAGTGAGAATGCTTATGATTACGTCAGTACTAGCAGGGATGCTACCAGTTTCACTTAGTATGTTCCCACAGTGTGGGGAGGTAAGTCCTTTCACAGGAATTGATTTAGGATTATTGTTATATTAAACAGTCATTCTATAACTATGGCCAGCAGTCTTAAGGCCACATAGAAAAAATCAATAGGATTAATGTGGTTGTGCATCTAAAATGGGGCAGCAGAGAGGCTGCTTGTGAAGGCCCATGTACTAGGCAGAGGCTTACAGGACTTGCTAGGTCTAAGTTGCATTGTGTGTTATTTATATTTATACTTTTCAATGTAGATTTATTAGATTTTCACAACAGTCTGAAGCAAGCAAGGTCAGGAGAGCTGTCTTAAAGATTAAAACCAAGGCTCTTCCAGCACTATTTTCAGTCCTGCTGCAGAAAGAAAGGATGTAGATGAGAAATTTTTCTTTCATGCAAAGTCAGCATGAACTCATCAGAGAGGTAAACCAACTCACATGCGACATCTCCTCACCCTGCCTTACTGAACCGTGAAGTGTAATCTGTTCCCTGGGAAAGTACGCCTTCCTCGCAGGTTTTAAATGGAGGATGTAGCCCTTGAACCTTGGGCTTTGGAGAAGGCGAAGTGAGAGAGGAGCCTGGGGTTCCTTTCTGCATTTAATTCCTCTCCCTTATCAGCACTGTGTGAATATTCTCAGAAAATCACAGATTGGGCTCTTGCAATTTTCAGTGGTTTCTTTTATTTGCCTAAACTTTCTGGCATTGTAATCTCTTTTTTTAGATTTCTTAATCTCTTACGGCAACAAGGGTAAACCGAACATAAATGAGGGGACTTGTGAGAAATTGTGTACTGAGGGTATGGTTGGTTGGTTCCCTTTGAGATTCTCAATTGCTCAGCCCACCGCAGAACTTCTCCTGGGTGAGTCACCCAAATATATTTACGGTTGGACTCGATGATCTTAAAGGTCTTTTCCAACCTGAATGATTCTATAGTGAATGGAGATAAAGTCAGTAATGCTCTGTTTAGATCTTGGGAGCGCCTCTAATTTCAAATAAAACATATTTCTTCCCTTATGTGTGTGCATGTAGAAAATGTCAGAGAAGCAAAAAAAAGCCCCAAATAAACAAAGAACCCCAAATCCCATACAGCCTTGCTTCTGAAGACAGTATTTCAATTTGTGCAAAGTTCAATGCAGTAAAGAGGACTTAACATACACTTACCAGGATATAGTGGTGTTGATTCCCTTTTTCTATACGTTGCAGATAAAGCGAGCAGACCTTGAACCGGAAATTCTGTCATCTACAGATGAAACAGAGTTATTCTACAATAGGGGAATTTAGAGATTGGCTTTAATATAGAAATGTGTGCTCTGATTGAAGTGAATTCTGAATGCATCAACAAATTCAACTGGCATATGTGACTGATTGAATCATGAATTTATGGTGGCATACGTACCAGATTGGGTGTACAATGGTGTGGTCTATAAAGAGGCAGACTTTGCAAAATGATTTTGCAAGCCCCAGCCCACAGGCAGATGCGTACGCATAACAATGCTGTAAATTATATTTGTACCAGAAAGCACTGTAACAAAGCATTTGTCACAAACTGTTTTCTGTATGCTTCCTCATGTGATTGATTTCTTAATTAAAAGATTATTGAATACAAAAGTTTGTTCTGCTGCAGCTTTTGACATGCTGCTTTCCAGGAACACAGCTGGTAAAGGCGTTGAACATCACTAGTCCTTCGGGTAAAGTCAAGCTGGTTCTTCTCAAAATACTTTGTATGTTTCATTGTATTTAGTAACACTCGCTTCAAGGATGAGACATGAGTGAGGTAGCCATTAAAGTGATATTAGACAAAGCAACGCCGATGGCAATATAATATTGGTTAAATTTAGCTAAGGAATGTTTAGGAATCGGGTGTCAAACTTGGCTACAAAGTGACTCCTGGCTTTTCTCGACATCCTTGAAGCAGTTCTGAGGCCTGGTGCCCCTTGAGCTTTAGAACTTGTTTTTTACACTGAAGCCACCGGGAAATCCTGTGGCTTTCTGACCTTGTGGTAGACTATGAGGAATCTCCACTTCTGCAGGTTGACGGTGTTTATCCAAAGAAAAAAGCTGTTTTTTGAAATGTGGCATAAGGGTTAGCCTGTTGATCAGTGCAGTGATAAATTGTGCTGATCATACGAAATTATTCAGGGGACCAGGGCTGTCTGTGAAGAGTTGCAGAAAGAGCTTACAACACTGGATATAAAAACAGGTGAAATAACAAATGGGTAAGTGAAAAGTAATGAGCTTGGCAGAGGGGATAATCCAGCTTCACCTCTGGGCTGTGAGCTGGCTGTTAACACTAGGAGTGGAATTAGGGGTAGTGACAGATAGCTCAATGTGTAGTTAACTGTGAAGTTCTTACCAAAGGGCATTACGGATACTAAAAGCTTACATGAATTTAAGAGGAGAACGGGCATTTCCATCAAAGGGAATCCATTGAAGGATACAAATTCATAGAAACTACACCAGCAAAAGAAGTTCATAAGCTCTATACTACTGGGGAGTGGAAGGGGTAAATAGCTTATTTGCCTGCTCTCGCTTTCTTCTTGTGTCTGCTGTTGGTGGCCATTGGGATATGACATTTGGCTGAATAGACCCAAAGGGTCTGGCCCGGTACAGCTGCTTTCATACAATTTGCTGACCTGTCACAAATTCAAGATCAGACCTTCTCCTGGGGGAACAGGAAAGAGAAAGAAGCTCCCCAAGTGTGGTAGGAGACCCTGTGGTTGTGGTAACTATAGGCGGGGGTCATAGGAGAGATGGTTCTAAGATCACTGAAGGTGTTACGTGAGGTGCTGCTAAGGCTGTGTGTGACAGGGATAAATATGCACTGAATAATGTAGTAATCAATCACTTTCACAGAAGTAATTTTACAAGTACAGCCTCCAAAGTCTGCCATAATTTAACTTCCTTAGAGCACAATACACAGGTCACTGCTCTCCTATTGCTGGAGGATTAGATTTCTTTTCACAGTGCAAGAGAACTGAAGGTTTCCCAATCCACTCCATCGCTACAGGAAGAAAGCAGTGTAGAGTGAAGTAAGGAAAAATAGCAGGCCTGGTCTCCTGCAGGAAAACAGTTCCTGCTTTTGGCACTGAACAAAAGCAGGAAGTAGGGGTTGAGTTTCATTTCTTGTTTTGAGTTCTGCCTTTTTTGAGCCTTCCTTTAACCACTGACTGCAGAGAAGGGTCAGACAAGGAAAGAGGACAGGAGAGTAGCAGCCCACCCTAAGGACCTGTAACTTGAGGGGAGCATGCTGTAAAGCTGTTCCAGGAAGACAGTATGGATTCTGTCTTTAAGTTGCCAAACCTAAGAGTGGCAAAGAGTTTGCACTACTCCACTGGAGGACTGTAGTGAATTTTTAAAGGTAAAGGATCTTTTACACTGTCGTGGTTTTGGCTGGGATAGAGTTAATTTCCTTCCTAGTAGCTGGTACAGTGCTGTGTTTTGGATTTAGGATGAGAACAATGTTGATTACACACCGATGTTTTAGTTGTTGCTAAGTAGTGCTTACACTGGTCAAGGACTTCTCAGCTTCCCATGCTTTGCTGACTGAGAAGGCTGGAGGTGCACAAGAAGCTGGGAGGGGGCACAGCCAGGACAGCTGACCCCAACTGGCCAAAGGGACATTCCATACCATGGGACGTCATGCTCAGTACATAAACTGGGGAAAGCTGGCCGGGGGGGCCGCTGCTCGGGGACTGGCTGGGCATCGGTCGGTGGGTGGTGAGCAATTGCATTGTGCATCACTTGCTTTGTATATTCTTTTATTATTATTGTTATTATTACTATTTTATTTTATTTCAATTAGTAAACTGTTCTTATCTCAACCCACGAGTTTTCTCACTCTTAGTCTTCCGATTCTCTCCCCCGTCCCACCGGGAGAAGGGGGGAGTGAGCCAGCGGCTGTGTGGTGCTCAGTTGCCGACTGAGGTTAAACCACGATATACACCTACTGAACTCAACAGGGATCGCTTAGCCTTGCCTTGCCTTTGTGGGTCATGTTTGTAAGTACATAGTAAAATCCCATCAGGGTCAGTGACATAAAAGCGATTGTACTGTGTCAGGCCAAAGGTTTGCCTAGCCAAATGTCATCTCCAACGGCAGCCAAAAGGAGACACAAGAAGAAAAGATCACATCAGCCTCAGCTCTCCTGAGCTGGGAGGACACTAGGGAGAAGGAGGCTTGCCCTGCTCTTTTTCCTTAGATACCACAGGGTCAGCTGGAACAGGCTTACCGTGTCAGCCTGCCTCTCTCAATGAAGTGTTTGTCTCCTTCCAAATCTTTAATAACGGTGGCACAGCTAACATCCTACAGTTAAATTCTCTAAAACCCTGTTTCTCTAGTAATCCTATTTCAATACATACCAAAAGCAAACTCAGATGGGGTCTAATTCCACTCAGTAAACATTAATTGGCACTACAATGAAAACCCACACCTCTCCCCACTCCTTTTATAAACATAATTTAAGAATGGCTAAAGTAAATGCTAGTTACATGAATCACAGTGGAAGCAAAGAGAAAAAAAAACAAAAAACCAACAGTAGAGCAAAGCCAAGAAATTGAAGATTCATGAACTTTGAATCGTCATGGTAACTAGACAAGCTATAAATTCTCTGGCACTGCACTTGGATGTTTTAAGCAAATTGATGTCATTAGAACTCTGTGAGTAAGGCTTATGGAATAGGTCTGGTAATAGTGTCTGTTATTGCAGCTGCCCATTATCAAAATCTACCAGCTTCTTACTGAATACTCAAGTTGAAATTTGCCATATTAAACACAGCTCCCTCAGGATTATTAAATACCTCTCTCCTTTCCCCCATTCTCAGAAATGTTTCTATTGCCCTAACCAGAACTTCCCAGAAGAGGAGGGCAGGTACCTGCCATTTAAATTGTCAGTCTGGGTGATTCAGCTGCTTCTCAAATCAGGGCAGGGAAAATACATTGCTAAAAAGGCCCGGACATCCTTGGTCTTGAAATAAAGTCATTATGAGACTAGAACTAGAACTGCCAGGACCCGACACCTGGTAGTCCAGAGGTATAAGTGAGGGGAGCAAGACTGGGACAAGCAGAAAAGCATCATGTTTGAAGGACTTGGGAGGAGAGTCAGCACCTACAGGACAACCTTCCCCTTTGTAACTTAGATGAACAACATACCAGCCCAAGGCAGGTCTGTCTCCTGCCTTTGGCACCGGCTGGTGGGTTAAGTGACAGTGCATTAGCGGTGGAACCAGTTTAAGTTGTGGTAAACTACAATACTACAGCTTCAAGGAAAAGGTAAGTCTCGGTACAGCACAATATGCTAGCAGTTCCCCACCTACTCAGCTTGGCATCTTGAAATTTAGGAATATGCAATGAGGCTTCCATGCCCCTTTAATGTAGCTTAAAAAAAAAAATCAGCCACTCCCATGCTAGGAAGTACTGAGATCAAAGCATTTTCCCCAGCTGGAGCTCATGCTCTGTTACCCCCAAGCCTGTAGCACAGCCACACTATTTTTCCCTGCAGGCCATAGGGGTGGAGGAAGGAAGGAGGGAGCCCTGCACTGCAGCTCCTTCCCCATCACGCAGCGAACACCAGGCCGCGTGCTGCACAGTGTTGCTCAGGAAGGAGCTGTTGCCCAGTCTTTGGAGCCTCCTCCTGAGCCTTGCATCATTCGGCAGCCACAAGGAATGACCTCACCTGACCAAAGGTCCCTCTGACTCGGACTCCAGCCAGACAGCTGCCTAGGGAAGGCTATAAGGGAGTACGAGGCAGCTGTGAACTTCTTACACTGAACTTTATGGCTTGTTTTTTTATCTATAAATTTAGCTGCTCCAAACGACATCTCACAACACCCTATTAACAAATTATCATTAGCCCTTTTGGTAGCTGGGGAACTGAGGCAGTCAGAGGTTGAAATCGGAACCAGCCTGTGGATGCTGTCAGATAGTCCTGCGTCAATTTTTTCCAGGTTACACAGCATTGTATTGCTCTCAATCAGAATATTCCCCCCCAGTTGCCTGCGGGGGAAACAAGGCAGAACAGCTCATACCAGGGACTAAAACACCAGGGATGAAAGCATTAAAAACAACAGTTAGCCTTAAGGGACTAGCCCAATTTACTCAGCAAAATTACAACTGGAGGGATTGACTGTTTATCCTGCTCCCCTTTGCAAGCCTTTGCTTTGTTCACTATCTACCTTCCAGTATCTGCAAACATAGTGCTGATATTATGCTACAGCTATCACACTAACTGGTTCACGTGGGCAATGAGCAAGGCGGAGTGCTCAGGGAGTACCTTTTGCCTCAACTGAGGAAGGAGCAGTGCTACAATTTTCATTTGAATTCAAGGCTTTCAATTATTCTATGTGCTGCACGCCTTTTGGAGGCATGTCTCTTAGCAGGTCAACAGGAACCATCATTCACCATTTTGTATTTATCCAAGAACAGAAAGGCAGTAAGATGAGAAGGTATGAATGAAAATTTCATTTTACACGGTCTTTGCTTCTAGGAGGAGGAAGAAAGGATGTCATCTGACTTTGCAAAATCAGCAACTGCACACAGAGTCTGCTTGTATGCA